ATTTTCATTATGAATTTCTGACTGGGGAGTCACATTTTAGGGGAGTCAGATTTACATGGTACACCGGGCCTCCGAGGCCCGGTTTCAGGGTTTACGTAGGGTTCCATTTCCTTGTGGATGAGGGTTAATTTCGTAAATAATTTTCTCTAAGCAATATTTACACAACCTATCTATTTTGTGGTAAATTTTCATGTCTACCGGTTTCTATTGCAAGTCTATGGTTTGAAGCTCTGAATCTTGAAAATGCTATTCTGTGTTTCATAATATTTACATCAAATAAACAATTTAGGTTCTAACAAACTCTTAAACAATGCATAGTTTTAAAAAAGTTTGGACTATTTTGTATACTTTCAACCCAATTTTGTCTAGCACAGTCCTTCAGGTTTAGTAAAATTGGCTTACAAAGGTATTTATATCACAATATAAACACATGTGCTATCCATGCATAACCAAAACCATACATATAAATTATTTGTTTTACTTTAGTCACCCAGTGAGTCCTTCCATGTTCATGTAGTTTACGCAACATATTATAGCAAGCTCTGCAAAATGTACTGAAACATTTTAGTGCTCGATAAATTATTATTATTATTATTATTATTATTATTATTATTATTATTATTATTATTATTATATCAGGATAATCATGGTTTTCTCTTCTTGCTGTGCTAGGGTACTTTTAGCTTTGCTCCAGGACTAGAAAGCAGAGAATACCAGCCCTAAGTACTTATAGTGGCTAACAATTTCTACCTCCTTATTATTTAGGAACCATTTTTCATGTTTATTTAAATAACCACCTCGTCTGAATACGATGATTTTTGTTTTATCTTCGTTGATCATCATGCCATATTTTTTTCAGAATTTTTCTAATTTTACCATAAGCTTTTGCAAGCTACCAACCGTGTCACTTATCTCTACTGCATCATCCGCAAAGAGAAAATGTGAGATGCTAGGTGCATCTTCATTTACGAAAATGACTTTGCAGCTTTCATCATTTCTTAACATATGAACAAATCCATTTAGAAATAGAGAAAACATAAATGGACTTGACACGCAGCCTTGTTTGGTGCCTATGGTACAATCAAAATAATCAGATATACCATCTTTCATCTGTATACTTGACTTCAATTGTTTATACATAGATTGGATGACTTTGACTATCTTTGTATTAACCTAGTTTTTCAATAAAACATATATTAATAATGTATGGTCAACGCAATCAAAGGCTTTAGCAAAGTCAATGAAAATACAGTAGCATCTTCCTCTCTGTTTTGTAAGATGCTTCTGTATTAGGGCTTACAATGTGAAGCAATTATCTATTATACTATAGCCTTTCCTAAACCCACTTTGTTCTTCACAAAACTTACTTGTATCTTCTGCCAATTTTACTAATCTTTCATTAAGGACTTTATTAAATATTTTCTCCACTACGTTTAATAGAGAAATACCTCTGTAATTATTTGGATCATTTTTGTCACCTTCTTTATAGATTGGGCATATAATAGCCTCTCCCCATTTTGCCAGGAAGACCCCAGTTTGCATAACTTGGTTATATAATGAACATAAACAGGGGACAATCATGTCACTATTTTTAAACATCTCGACCACTAAGCCATCAGGTCCTCCCGATTTATTATTTTTCATTTACCTCATTGCAGCAATTATTTCTTTATTTTTTTTTTCATCTTCTAAATTATCAATGTCTTCATTTTCAAATGTTTCCAGATTATCAATAAGCTGTTTAGCTTCATTTTTGAACACGGGATCAATAGGGTGCTTAGCTATTTCTAACAAAGACCAAAAATGTTGAAGCCAAGTGTCTGCTTATATGTTATTTCCCACTGCTTTTGAAAAAGTATACTCTTTTGGCCGATCCCAGATTTCATTTGGAGAGCTAGGGTCTTTAAACAGGTCCTCCGTATAAGCTACTTTAATGAGCACGTTCGTTTTGCTGTGTGAGCATACATCTTATTGCAATAAACTGTGGTGCGCATTTCATTACCAGACTACTCAGCTTGACTTAGGTATTTATTAAATATAAAAAAAATACGCATAATCTCAATACCAACTGCACTATTTGTCGTAATAGAAGAATCCTTTGAAAAAAACTTTGGTGTTGCTTAATTTTTGAGCATAAGCGTGATAACCGAAATTAAGAATTAATCATCGAAACTGTCGGGTGAAACATTATTAAATAATTTCTGGTAGTCTCTTTGCCTTCTAGCAAGCACTTGCCTTTTGTCAGTTATTATTTATTTGTCATCAACAACTTCCCAGGGTACCCTGTTGCGCCTCTGGCTCTTTATATCCAACTTTCCTATTTGTTCCCAGAATTCGCAATAATTCTGTTGACTTTCAAAGCAGAGTCGACTTATTTCATTCTGTTTATCCCTTTGGTGTTTACTTTATAGCTTTTTAAACTTTCTGTCGAAAGTTATCCTTCGATCACAAACTTTTTCTTTTTACCTCCTATTTCCACTGACTCTGCAGATGACTGTTCCAACTTGTTTATACTTTTATTCGTGGGGATGTTCCTAAAGTTGTCTCATGCTAGTTCACCCATTGAAAACATTGAAGACTACCTAGTCACCCTGTGGATTTCTACGGGTACAAACATGACTGGTCAAGCCAAAGCTCTTGTAAAAATGCGGTGGAGTAAAACCGTCGACTTAAAAATGTAATTTTATGCCTGCTGCCTCTGACACGCTTGTGTAAGTTCAACAGGATATCTGCTGGGATATCTTTTTACACCTTCTTGATTCTCGAAAACGTTATAGGATAACTCAAATGCTACAATCTACATGTATGTTTATATGCTGCTGTCACATTGTGCGCATTTATATAAACACATGTACTTTTCCATGATGAAGTTTAATAAATGGATGGGGAAATCATGCATTTGTTTACAAGTGTTGTCAAAAACAATTCGAATTTCTCTTTAAAAAATCAATCTAAAACCAATTGATTGTGACGTTACATCCAAGCAATATCAGAAATGAACTTTTATGACAATAAGAAACACCACGTACTCTTCTATAGTATACCCTGACCTGAAAGATGACCGTCATTTTTACAATTACAACAGCGACTAATGGAAACACACAGCCTGAAAATCAATACTAGTTGACGGTTTATTTGTATTTTATGCGGGTATCAATTTACAGGTGGTAAAACCGCAGACCAATCCACAGTAATAATTTTGTCTTAATTCCCCTTGGTCTCTGCCATTATAAAAGTATGGCTATATTTTAAAATGATTTAAACATTCTTATATGCTGCATATAAATAAAATCATCATTCGATCATCAAATATTATTTTTCACCAGATAATACATGTTTTTTGCAAAAAGAATTCTAAAGTTTTCTAATTTAAAACTTTCTTGAAACTATACAAATTCAGACACCGTGGTTCTTTAGCCTCCTTTGGAACCAACATAATGTGTTTGAATTTTTAATCTGCTTTGAAGTAGGAAAAACACTCATTTACAAACCACTAACAATAACACAGCCCCGGATGAAACAGGTGTAGGTTGAAAAAGGAGCTGGTATTATACATACTCAGATACTTTCTTTGGATGTTTTGGCAACGCTTGTTTTTAAGATGTATGTCCAGGAAAGTTCCTATCTACATCACTGTATTTACATGTCACTGTATAAAGAGAACTTTAGCTATCATGTTTTATGTTTTTATTTTTTTTATTTTTACAATACCCGTTCAGATTTGAAAATAAGTCTCCATTGGTCCTTTTTTAATTTTTTTTAAGAGCGAATCTAACTGTTAATCTAGATTTATGAATTACCACCACTCTGTTCTTTTTTGTGTTGCAGAATTGATTTCATCTACGATGTGGTCATTGCAATTCTACATCATCGCATTGTTTCTGTTCGACAGTCCAGTAACCGGTATGTATACCCATGATTCATGGCAAATAAAGGAAAAAGAACTTTGATATAGCAAAGGTTATATATGCCTCTTCCGAGACAATTTACCAAAACTATTTACTTCACCAACCACAAAAATTAATTTAAAAAATATGTTGAGGAATTATTGTTTGAGAATTGGCCAATTAATCCCGCTTTTTACACCACCAGTGAATAACATAGGGAAAGCATTTGCTTTGTAGGCATAGGTCTACTTATATTTACGTGTATATATATATATATATATATATATATATATATATATATATATATATATATATATATATATATATATATATATATATATATAATCAGTATTCAACAAGCCAAACGAATCATGCTTCGAGACTGCCAATTATCTGATGTTAGAGAAACTACATATTGGGTCCTCTGGTGACAGATATCCACATTTGTACATTCAATTTGATTTTATAACACGCTTTCAATCACTCTAACGGTCTGTGTGTATTGTTTAATTTAAAAAAAAAAAGAGCGTCATCCATGGTTTTCCATTTCTATTACAAAATCAGCAAACGAAAAGTAAAAAGCTTGTCCATGGATTATACAAATCTGTTATAAAAGTGCCCATCTCAATGTGAAGATTAGTTTGATATAACAACTTGCCAGTATGAAACAAGAAACCGCAGTTGTTTGGAATTGTTTTTATATTTATGCTGTAAAATTACGTGATTTTAATTTACTCAACAGTGTCTAATGTTATATAATAACTTTACATTATTCTTCTACCAGAGGGATTTTTCAATAAAAGAGACAGTTGTTTTGTTTTCATTTTACTTATCTTTTCGCTTGAGTTAATGAGGAGATAAAAATAGCTATACCATTTCAGGGTCGCACTTCAGATATGCCACAATCAGCTGTAGGCCCGCTCTGGATAACGCTTTAGTTGGTAAGTTGGACGTTTTTGTTCTCAGGAATTAGTCAGTTGTTAATATACTCATTTTGGCCTGATGAATTGTGGGTTTCTTTAAACATGTAATGATCACTGAAGATACGATGGGCAAGCGTCTGTTCGTGGAGACAAAAACAATGTTACCTTTGCGCAGTGATAGAATTCCACATACGATGCAAATATAGTTTAAGAAATAATTTCCAAGGATATCCTACACATTCCTAATGGGGTTCTCATCTAGGGCTGGAGCTGATCGACCACTGTGGATCCGGATCTGGTTTGCATATGAACAGCCTACTGTTGCATTGACTGTGCGTGGAGTAACATTGTCATAATGAAGCATCAATAAGTAGTCTTGGTTCCCAAAGATATTGTCAACAGATTTCCTTAAATCCCTTTCCAGTACTTGGATGCATGGGTCTGTGTTAAGGTTCCTGTTGACCACTGCCAGCTGGCCTACACCATAGTAGCCTCAACACCCCATGCATGTTTTGCGCTGTTTCTTTGTGTGTCCTGTCAACCAGTAGCAGAAAATTGAAAAAAAAATTGCTTCTCCGCTATTCTCTAAACCATTACGTGTCCATACATTCTGACAACGCTTAAACTTCCCTCAGCTGGTAAAAGTATTATTGCCAAGTTATAAGTTGGTGTCCATGTCTCATTTTCGGTACACCATCCCATTCGACGTAGACAGTTCTAGAAATAAAATCGACTCTGCAAATGTTGGTACTAATATCTTTATAACTAATCTGAGTCGTTTCCTTTGATTTAAGTGACCTGTGCTTGGAAATCTGCCTGGATATTAGATAATGGTCCTTGTGAATACCCCTGTACGCAGGCTAATGTAGGACAACTTTCAGGTTCTCCTGGGGATTTTGGTTATTGGCGGTGTTACTCTGGTAAGTACAATTCACTGATGCTCACGGATCACTCACATGATTTTGACGTTGCCGAGTATAGTTTGGTCAAAGGAGAGTCCTAAGATTTGACGTCACAATAACACATTCGATAATTCTCCTTTATCTTTAACTTTAGGCTGCGGTTACTTTTTGAACGTGGCTCCCCATCAGTATTATGTCACAGCCATAGATTCGACTGACGATTGGCAACAAGGGGAAAATGAGTTCAGTTACACACTGCCACAGTCTGGTGTATTTTCGTTTGGGTAAGTCTATTTTTGTTTGTCTTCCACCACCACCCAACCATAAAATGTTCAAGATGCTTTCATGCATGTACATCACTAATTGGTATACTAGTGTCTAGAGCAAACAGACAGAAGCGTACATACAACATTAATGGCAAGTTAAGTTGGTGAGTTAAAATATTAGTGTGTCATCTATGTGAGTTTTTTTTTTTTTTTTTTTTTTTTCATATTCTACAACAGGTGAAGTTGGTGACTAAAAATAAAAATGTGTCAACATTGTGCTTTTTTCTAGGGATATTTCATTTTGTATCCTAAGGCATGTCCTCGAAGCCCTGTATCAGTAACATTTTCTTGATATTCGTGACATCTTGACATCATGATATTCAAATTGATGGTGATTATGCTGGTAGACATTATGCATTATTGCTTCAATATGGGCAAACCAAATGTTAAGATAACATTGTGCCTTATACTAAAATATATTGTATATAGGTGTATCTAGATTGGTTGACAGGGGACTGGTTGTGGGTTCTCAATTTTTTTTTCTCGGCTGTTTCAAAACCAGGTGACAAATCAAATAAATGACTGTACAAAAAGCTTTTACCTTTGGGGCCTTTATCCCACAAATTTCATAAGAATTGATCATAGTGCTTCTCTTATTATAACAGTCTATGTATGATAATGCTAGCAAATTGATCAAACATAGCATATTGTGGACATAAGGGAATTAAGGTTGTTGTAAAAAAAAAAAAAAAAAAAAAAAAAAAAACGTTGACGCAAAGTAAGTAGTCACTAGGCTTTTGAAAAAGTGAGAGTCCGTCTGGCGTTCATTATCAATAGATACACGTGTACAGTATATGGCACAGGCAAGGCCTACAGGTACTGTACTTATATAACCCAACCCCACCAGCATTTTTTTTTAGATGGTGGTATGGGAAAGAAACCGCTTACTATATCAGAACGATACATATATATCAATGCATCATATATCGTTTTGAACGCAAGGGATGGGACATTAAATTCCATAAAACAAAGATTCGTGACAATAAGTCAAGGGTCACTCATAATGGGTCAGAGGTAACAAGAGTTTACATTTGGGTTTCTCAAAGAATTAGAATCAAAAAAGTTTTTAAAAACATTGTTTATATAAATATTTTTGGTATTTGGTGAATGGTTTGGGACAATGCTATAATAAAAAGCTTATGAAGAAAATTTGGAACCTCAAGTATCTTATTTCAGAATATTATGCAATTAAACGTGAACCCAACAGTCAAAATACCCCCTATTTGAAAGTGGGGTTAGGGGAAAGAAAGTGGTTACTACATCAATATATCAATGGATTATATATAATTAAAGATGTAAGGGATAGGACAATTAATTTTGTAGGTCACAAATACATGACAATTAGTCAAGGGTCATTGACAATGCTGCAAATGTCAGAAGAGGTCATATGCTATGTTTTTTTTTTTTTTTTTTTTTTTTTTTTGAAAATGTGTTTACCCATGGGATGTGAAAATATTAGTCAAAATACGCCCTCTAGAAATTTGGGTTAGGTGAAAGAAAAAAGTCATTAATTCACCTTAAAATTCACCAATAATGCTTAGATTTTAAATCTATAAAGTGAGCGTGGTTTCCCCTTGATTTACCAGTATTATCAATCATCCACAAATGCATAGTATTATGTGCTCTATATACCGTCCTAGTATTAAGAATGTGTATATTTACCCCGTGTACCATTTGAATATTACACTGCGATTAATGCGGTGGAAAATACAATAGAGGGAGTGTGATAATGATAGGGTCGCTATACGATTTTTGACGGCATATAGTAACTAGCCTAATCCCCTGGTCGCCTGGGTAGCCACGCCCCCTTAGAATACTGGTGTAAACAAACGGTCTCCCGTAGCGAACTATCCTTTTGTTCAACATCTTCGCGTGTGCAGCTGATTATGTATGTAGTGACACTATAGGTATCTGCATATAAATCTGTGCTAGCTGTTATTTGATTCATTCTGCTGTGCCGGATGTTGTGGATCAGCCCACTGGTTCGTTGACTTATTCGTTTCTGGAGATTGGTGATGCAGATTTTGAGTGCTTAATTATTTACCCTCCTTCTAACAAGATAAAGGGGAAGGGAGAGAAAAAGAGAAAGTGTCAAATGAAATGGGTAATGCGTAATACAATACATTGAATAAAGGGACTCGCGGTGGAAGAAACGATAGACTGTTTTGCATCAAGGTATGCCGTTATAATCCGACATGGACCATAACTTCTTCTTCTTCTTCTTCATGTGCCAGGTCTGTTGCAGACATCGGCGATCATGGCCTTCCATTCCTCTCTGTTATCAGTTCTCCTGATGAGTTCTTTGTTGGGGGATTCTTTCCTCGTTGCGTAGCTATTCAGACTGTCTGTGTATTTTGTGCATTGTCTTCCTCTGCTTTTGGCACCACAAATCTTTCCACACAGTATTTGCTTTTCTATTCCATCAGTTCTGATTATGTGCCCAAAAAATTGTAGTTGTCTTTTTCTGATGGTTCTGAGTAGGGATCTTTTGTACCCGGCCAATTCCATTACTTCTTCATTTGACTTCTTTTCAGTCCATGATATTCTCATAATTCTTCTGATATACCACATTTCTGCTGCTTCAAGTCTTCTTTCAAGGTCTTTTGTTAGCGTCCAGCATTCGCATCCGTACAGAAGGATGGACCATGTGTAGGCTTTCAGAGTGTTGATTTTGGTACTGAGTCTTATATTTCTGTTGGTAAAGATGGGCTTCATCTTGGTGAATGTGTCTTTAGACAAAGCGATTCTCTTCTTTATTTCTGTGTCGCATCTGGCGTCTGGAGTAATTGTGAAGCCCAAGTATTTAAAGGTGCAAACTTGTTTTATTCTTTCCCCTTTGCATAAAATATTACATACAGGCATGTCTGACTGTTTTGAGATTACCATGCACTCAGTCTTCTTTGAAAGTTGGAGTCCTTTGTTTCCGCTTTCCATTGTGACTGTTGTAAGGATGTTTTGTAGTTTTTCCTCCGAGTCAGCAATTAGCACTGTGTCATCCGCATATCTTAGATTGTTTATGTTGTGACCACCTACTTTGACACCTTCATGCTGCTCTATGTTCCGTAGAATCATTTCGCTGTGGATATTGAAGAGGTCTGGAGATAAAACGCAGCCCTGCCTCACTCCCCTACAGATCGGTCTGTACTCACTGTAGTCATTATCAACTCTTATTGCAGGACCATAACAGGAGGGATTATACTAAATACATACTCATCGTTGTATGACTTATATTTGTGCCGACTTATATTTTACTCTCGTTCATTTCGTGAAACTATTCCCTTGAATAAAATTTTGCCTGTATAAATTTACTTTGTGACATGAAGTAATTAATAAAACACGCCTGTTGAAAAGGGGGCTTTTCGTAACGAATGCAGGTTCACTGTTCAGAAAAATATCATGGCAGTTCGTCGCCGCTACCTTCAGGAAAGCGTACCCTTTGCTTGGATCACTGGTATTTTTGGTTATCTGACAAAATACGGCAATTTACATTTTAGCTAATAATTCTGAATTTACTAATATTTTGGACTAAATTCGATGTCAGATTCATAGCCATGACGCAAAGCCGCCAGCGTAACTGTTTAAATTTCCAAACATTCTATTTCGTTTTTTTTCCTAATGTTTTTTTATTTTCAGTCGAAAACGTTTTCATGTTCAACTTCTCAAACCTGTAAGTACACTATTCTGGACTATTTTGTTTTATCTAGCTACACATACAAATACCACTAACTGCCCC